GGACGACGACGACGGACGACGACAACGGACAATCACTCATATGATAAGCTCCGCTCGACAAAGTCGACAGCGGAGCTAAAAAGTAAGTGGTACAATGAACTTAACTCAGTACTGAAATCTACAAATACAACACTATCAGATATTGACAATATAGAGCTAAAATCGTCACAAATGTCACGGATATATGATAAAATAAAAAATGTATTTATAAAACATTGGATTAACTCAATTAATGATGATAACAGACAAAACACTAATACAAAAAACAAACTGAGGACTAACAAAAAATTTAAAACAAACTTCATTTTGGAAAACTACTTAATTAAGCTAAAAAATAAAGAACTGAAAAGTACCCTAACTAAATTCAGACTGAGCAATCACAGTTTAGAAATTGAAAAAGGAAGACACAACAGAATCAAAAGTAGCGACAGAATCTGCAAATTGTGTAATAAAAATGATATTGAAGATGAACATCACTTCCTCATAATATGCCCAGTATATAGTAAAAAGAGGGTCATTTCATACAATGAAGCTGAAAAGATTATTCCTGACTTTACTAATCTCACAGCTGAAAATAAATTCATAAAAATAATGTCAAATAATAACTTAGCAATTCCTCTGGCACAATACAGTGTTCTCCCCAAAGCGTTTTAGCGTAGCGGGGCCGCTACTCCATTATTTATGCCGCTACTCTGAGAGATTGCCCGCTACTCTGTGGCATTTCCTGTTACTCTTTCTTTTAGCTTGTTAATACACGTGCGAATCTGTTAGTCAGCGTCATCAGCGTCCGGTACTGTGAGCCAAATCAGGTGTGAATGGATATCTGAAATACAGCTTTGCTATTAGACAGCAGCATCTACTTATTCATTAACTTTTTTTTTTAAACCTATTCATTGGGTTTTTGTTTTTATATTCAGTTTATATTTTTTTGTTGGTGTTTCATTTTACTTTATTATATATTTCCGTTACTAACTTCAATTTAGTCTGTTTCTGGTTGTCTTTAAACTATTAGCCATTGTAATTTGATTAATTTTTATCTGTAATTTTTGTTGTTGTTGTAACCTTTAACCTCCTTCAGTAGGTTGTTATGAGTTAATAAATTGTTTGATAACTTGAGCGTTTTAGGAATGTGGGAATAGAAGCAAATAGATGGAAATGCCAGTTACATCACTCATGAAGATTGATGATTCGATTGCTGGCTGGAATAGATATATTTAGTGTTAATTTCTCAATTTCGATGTGTAAAATCATATCGCTGCTGTGGACGGCGACGGCTGACAGATTGTTTTGGTTCTGCGGCTCTCTTGGCATGGGCAACTGATTTTTAGGTTTCTATTTTTTTATATGTATTTTGTATATGTTTTTGAAATGCAGTCCCTCACCCCCTATCAAAAACAAGGACAAATTTATATGTATTATGAATGCCCATACTAGACAACAATTACTGGGGTTAATTAAATATATCAAAACAGCGTATACAATAAGAGAGCAAATAATATTACCACAGTAGTTTACTTTTTCTTGTTTGTCACACTTTTTGTTTTGTTTGTTTTTAACTTTATTACCTTCTACATGTGTAGAAACCAAAAAAGAATTGTCAAATTTTCTTTAACGTTGTAATAAAGCAATATTCTATTCTATATGTAAGACAAGGGAGGAAACAAAATGTGCACAGATTTTTCTAGCAGCTGAAAATCACACCTCAAAATACAAAATACCTTGTCCAAACAAGTTACGAGTGCTTACAAGACACTGAACTATCACAAAATGTTGTTCGATTACCTATTAATCATATATTTTTCCAGATTTTACCCATTTATGACGAAATTTGACAATTTCTATTCTCTGATACCAGCCTTCAGGTTATGTCAATCTGCGCACGCGTGCACGCCCTCAAACGCCAGTACTGCATTTCCTTTTTTTTTAGTCAGAGTTCTCAACTATTCATAATCATTCGAGATAAATCTGAAGCATCCGGTTTGATATTTCAACTAAATTGAGAAAATCAGGTAAGACAATATAGAATTGTGTATATAAATGATTGTGCATAGTTGAGAATTTCA